CGCCATGCACAAAACTTAAGTCCAAATGGATCAAAGACCTCAACATAAATCCAGCCACACTGAACCTCTTAGAAGAGAAAGTGGGTGGTACCCTTGAAAGAATTGGTACAGGAGACAGCTTCCTGAACATAACACCACTAGCACAGACAGTGAGATCAACAATTAATAAATGGACCTCCTGAAACTGAGAAGCTTCTGTAAGGCAAAGGACACAGTCAGCAAGACAAAAAGGCAGCCCACAGAATGGGAAAAAATATTCACTAATCCCACATCTGACAGAGGGTTGATCTCCAAAATTTACAAAGAACTCAAGAAGCAAGTCTCCAAAACAGCAAAGGACCCAATTAAGAAGTGGGCTGCAGAACTAAATAGAGAGTTTTCAATAGAGGAGTCTAAAATGGCTGAGAGGCACTTGAGAAAGTGCTCAACATCCTTAGCCATCCGGGAAATGCAAATCAAAGCAACTCTGAGATACCATCTCACTCCTGTCAGAATGGCTAAAATCAAAAACACCAATGACAATTTATGCTGGAGAGGATGTGGTGAAAGGGGACACTCCTCCATTGCTGGTGGGAGTGCCAACTGGTTCAGCCACTTTGGAAAGCAGTATGGAGATTCCTCAGAAAAATGGGAATAAACCTACCACAAGACCCAGCAACTGCACTCTTAGGCATATATCCAAAAGATGCCCATTCATATAACAAAGATGTCTGTTCCACTATGTTCCTAGCAGCTTTATTTGTAATAGCCAGAACTTGGAAGCAACCTAGATGTCCCTCACCCGAAGAATGGATAGAGAAAATGTGGTACACCTACACAATGGAGTACTATTCAGCAGAAAAAAATAATGGAATCATGAGATTCGCAGGCAAATGGATGACACTAGAAGAAACCATCCTGAGTGAGGTAACCCAGTCACAAAAAGAGAAACATGGCATGTACTCTCTCATATATGGATTTTAGACATAGATCTGGGGAGTGCCAGCCTACAATCCTATTGCCAGAGAGTCTGGGAAACAGAAACTTCATTTACTGGCTGGTTAAGTACTGAGCTGAACTCAAGAAAGCCAGTATCAGAGAGGGAGGACTGATGATCAAAGGGAATAAGACTGGGCTGGTTGAACCCCCAGAAACAGCTGACCAGACAAAGGTTAACTCTTGAATCCCAGGCATCAGCCTGGGAATCCAGCATGGGACTGATCAAGACCCCCTGAATCTGGGTGTCAGTGAGGAGGCCTAGGTAATCTATTGAGCCTTGGACAGCAGATCAGTACCCATCCCAAGTATACACACGGTCTCTGGACTCCCATAGAACAATGTGAGGTGCACTCTCACCCTGAACTCTTGGGGAAGGGTCTAGGCCCTGCCCTATATGAAATGACAGACTATGGACACCCCCATGGAGGGCCTCACCCTCCCTGGGGGAAAGAGGGGATAACGGGGGGGGGATGGGGGGGAGGGCACGGGAGGAGGGGAGGGAAAGGGAGAGGGACCTCGTACTGACTTGTGAAGCAACCTTGTTTCTTATCTAAATTTAAAATGGAAAATAAAAAAAATATTAATAAAAAAAAATTAAAATAAAAAAATAAAAATAAAAATATCAGACAACTCTGAAAAGCACTGAAAATGCTCTGTGTTCTGCAGGATCAAATATTAAGTCAAGATTTAATTCCTTATGTAAACATGCATGCCCATCCTATTCATTTGCAAATTCATTACCAACTTTACTAAATGTTAATTTTGTATATGCAAAAGATATGATTTATGACCAGTAAATGTTTTATTTGGATACCTAATTTAAACTCTTATATACCCAGGATCTTGTGAGATTTCTTGGGTAAAGAGGTTGGGAGTGGAAAAACTTTATGAAACCCTAACCTAAGTTATGTGCAGTTAGGTTTCCAAGACTGATAGGCACAAATCAGGAAAGAGTTCATACCTGACCTAATAAGCTATGCAGATCCTTTAGAGTCTATTGTAATTGCGCGCAAATGAGGCATTTATTTAGCTGGGATTTGAAACTTCTCAGAAATGTCTAAAAACCATAGAAATATTAAAGAAGCTGGTCCCAGAAAAAAAAAAGAATAAATAGAAATATGATGTTAGTATAACATTTTATGTAGCATAACTAGAAAAGAGCACCCATCTAATTTGCTGAGCTAGACCGTCATTAAAGTACTCAACCACACGTGGATGGCCATCTGATGGTTGGGAAAGGATGTGAGAATGGCATTTCATATTTCAAAAGCCCCTTTATAGAAGATTGCATCATATAAGAATGAAAAGTTGTGTCCTTATATGAGTATTTGACCAAGGGAAAACTGGATATATATTCCACATTTGGGAAATAGAAGAAAAGCATCCCTTCAGATCCATGGTTATGTATTCTGTGGCAAGTAACAAAACATAAACTCGGATATTAGATTTCTGGATGCCCCAGATGTTTGCTTTGGGTGTACTATAGTTGTGTTTTATTTGAGCTTGTATTACACAGATGTTCCTGGATTTTGAATGGTTCAGATGATTTATCATTAATTAGTTTAGTTCCAAACTCTTGCTAAGGCTCATCTAATTAGAGTGGCAATAGACTAACAAAAAGTGAGTCAGAATTTGAACTGCTTATTTTTTCAAAGGGCAGATAGTTTGTTCATATACAAATTATTTTTAATTAGAAGATAATTGGTGCTATAATATACTTGGTAAAAGCTCTGAGTTCATCATCATGACTTTATATCAGGCTTAATTGCGTCAACTTTTGCCCTAAAGTTAGTTCATTTCACAGTTTAAATGACTTGTAGTCTTAGGGTTGAGTGTCTATTCTACCAGTGATTTGCTGGTTTGGTTTGTTTTGAGAAAGGAGCATTAATAAACATGGTCATTCCAAAGTTTGACTTCAGTTTTCCTTTTTACTTTAAAAGTTCAGAATTTGATAGTAATAACGTTGTCTTGTATACATATAGTTCTTTATAAGAATCAAGCTGAGTCTAAGTAATTAATGTTCATATACTTTACTTCTTTTCAACAATAGAAATAAATTAGGAAATTCCAGAAAGAAAAAAATTTATTTTTTCCTGCCGGCTAAATTCTAGTAACAGCAATATAAATGTCAAAGTTCCAACTCTCATGAACCATAACACTTATCATAAGCAACCTCCTTTCACTTTGTCTCGAAATCGAGGCTTGTTGCCACAAAATCATACGTCATTAGTTATAAACAAGGAAATATGAGGTGTTAAAATAATGACTGCATTCAAGTCTTCACTAAACTCAAAGGAATTAAAGTAAGTAAATTCTTATTGACACTGCTAATTGCAAATGATAACAAAAACTAAAAACGGGGGTTAACATTAATTTTCTGACAACATGCTAAAAACTGGAGAATGGTTTAATTAAACCCACTGAGCATATCTGAAGTGACCATGAAAAAAAATGCCACGTTCATATTCTCCAGACTACTGCATAGACAGCTTAGTAAATTCATATCAGTAATCTGCGACTTGTTATTACTCAAATGGTTTTCTCTTCAGGGTAATAGTGTATATGGATTAGGATTCTGCAATGGTCTAGAAATTAAGTTAGCTAAATGGAGACTTTTGTAAGAAGAACATACAAAATTACCTCTAACTTTAGCAAGGAACTATCTGTCATTTAAATAATGACAATTCAAATCAAAAGTTAGCAAATCCAGTATAATAAACTAAAGCTGACAATACAGAGAATTTCAAGCACATCCAATCCAGCCAAGGTGGACCTTTTTCTGCAGTTGTGCGTTAAAGCCCACAGAAGACAGCACCGCTCTCTCTGTGTAGAATCATATGCAAAGAACATTAAAACTGTCAGAGGCGCGAAAAATAAAATCTGAAAACTGGGGTCATCCCTATGGCTTCAGAGTTGAAAATTAGTTTTGTCAAAAAATATACAAAATATAAATATTAAGCATATGATACTATATTTTTATTTATTTTGACAGAGATACAATATCAAGAGAAATTTATTCAAATTTTTTCTACATCTTTAGATACTATCATATAAGTGGGTGTGATTCTGCTCACAGGAATACTTAAAATTTTACAATGTTATGATGAAATAATGATGCTCAGCAAAAATGATATATTTCAAGAAACCCTCAGGCCAGGCTACATGCAATACTTTCCTTTAGTCTTTTGAGATTGCTTATAAGCATTTCAACAGTGAAATATGGTTGTTATAAAATTCTAATATAACCATGTCTTCTACATATCTATTAATTTGGCAAAAGGAAGCATTTTAAGTCTATTTCCACTCAGGTATTCATGATTAGCAATAATGCAAAAGGCAACAGGATCCTGCACTATGCTGAAGTAGTTCTACGATGTTAAATAGGTCTACAAGTTATATAGAGGAAAGTCCTCTTCTATTAAAACAATCCAAAAAACATATTAACCAAGAAAGAAAAGAAAAGTATTCCTTATGAGCGTCTTGAACTATAAGGAATGGGGATGAAAAGCAAGGAGTTACGAGTTATCAATGAAATGGTGACTATGTAACCAACTCTTTTGCTCAACAGAGTTTATAAGTAAAATATTTAATGATCTCCCCATAAATTGACACAGTGCACTATAAAAGCAAGATTATTTAAATTAGTAGTAAAAATCTCAATCTTATTAATTTTCAAGAGACCATATCTAGAAAATCATAGTACGCCTAACAATTTTGGCAATATATAGAATAACTTTAGAGAACACTGTGCCACTTCTAACATGCCATCCGATTGTAACAAGGCATTTCTAAGACAATGCTCAGCATGAACTATGCCCTGCCATCTTCCCATTTTTCCATGGAGCATCACACAATATGTTGGAACACTTTGTTAATCACAGTCAAAACATTTATGGTAAGTTTTTTCTATATATATGCATGTATAAGCTTTATACATTTTAAGGATTGCTGCTTTATGTACATAAGTTTGCTGATGCCTGGCGAGCCAAACTTATTTTCTCACCATGTTGGAGGCGACATACCTGCTTTAGAAGTGTGTAGTTGGAGCCGTCTGTGCTAATTTTTCTTATCTCATGTTGATCAGCAAGAATTAAGAATGGTTCTTCATCTTAATACAAAGAAAAACATATTACACATTTTAAACCTATAGCTTCCTGTTGAGACTTCTCTCAGTTCAATGTGTAGCAGTGTAAATGAACATACAGTAGTTTTCACAGTAATAATACCTAAAGAAAGCCATTCTGTCTGTAGGACAGTGAAGCAACACATGTAGGCATAGCAAGAAATGTCAGTAATTAAGCATGTATCTCTTTTACTCAGTTCTCACAGACATTAGACAAATAATTTGGTATAAGAAAATCGCATGTCTGTCTGTCCATCTATGTATGTATGTATGTATGTATGTATCTATCTATCTATCTATCTATATGTTTATATATGAATGCAGATAATTTCAGACAATGATAATGTAGCGCTATGTTAGAAGCTATAGTAGAACCAAATATTTGATAGTCAGATTTCCTTCTTGATTATTAACTTTCAATTTTCAGATTGTAATTGTTCTATTTCTCATTGTTTTTATATTTAATCATTTTACATTATTATTTTTTTCACAAATGCTCCACTGACATGTCCTTGTCTCTTACGTATTTTCAAATTCACAAATGTGCATAACAAAGACATGTTTATGTTCAGTACATCATGAGATATATTTTTACTCTTTAAGTTCATAGTTTGTTAGTTTTCACTTAGAAGCAAAATAAATTCTTAAAGAAAAGAGAATATAGTCAAAGAGAGGGAGAAGGGAATATATGAGGAAGTGAGATTAATATCATAATGCAGAAATCCACAGAGACAGCTAAACTAAGCTCATGGAAACTCATGACCTTGAGACCTACAACTGTGGAGACTCCAGGCGACCAAACTAGTCCCTCCATATGTGGGAGACAGTTGTGAAACTTGAACTATCTGAAGGGCCCCTGGAAGTAAGACCAAGATACAAACCTGGTATATGAGCTAGCTTGTTGGAGCCCATCCCCTGCGGTGGGATGCCATGCTCAGGCTTAATGTATGGGAATGGGGCTTGGGCCTGCACCAACCTCTTGTGCCAGACTTTGCTAACTCCTCATGGGAGCCCTTACCCATGAGGATGAATGAACTATGGGTGGTGTAGGAGAGAAGTGAGAGAGTGCAAGAGGAGATGTGGGAGGGAGAACTGTGGTTGGAATGTAAAATGAAATTTAAAAGAATAAATAAAGCGCTTCAAAAGCTTTGTATATACATTCAATTGAACAAATAGTTAAATAAAGTCAATATAATTATTTGTTTCCATGACATTTAAAAACTAAGAGGGATAGAATTTCTTGTCCATGCCATTTTCCCACCCTAAAAATCATATAGTGCTTTGTAACATTCTCATGTGTATGATTTCTCCCCTAATTTACAAAATTATATGTCTTGATTTATTAAATTCACATTGCTTAGACTAAACAGAATTTTAAGGTTTTTAAATAGCTTAATTATTGATATACTAGTATATAGAAATATTTATTATTATTACTACTATTAGTGGTCTATGGCTCTCTGTGGCATGCATTTATGCATGAATGTGATACAAGAGTGAAGAAAATTATCACAATAATATCACAGTGATGTCTGTCAACATTGGCTAATGTGATAATAATCTATGCCTCAGATAAAGTAAGCTGTAGATAGTTATATCACACACATGCAATCTCAACATGTCAAAAACACTTAATATTTCATGAAACAGTAATGTAATTTCTCTCAAGCAGAGAAAAACATGTATAGCGTACAAAGTCAAAGTAACAAATTCCAATAATGAATGAAGAATTTGAATTCTCAGACACAGGTACAAGGAATATATTCAATAAATAGTTATAAAATTCAACATCCATTCGTGTAACTGAGCTTGGATAGTGGATAATTCACTATCAATTCACTATTCATTTCACTACCTGAGAGTGACCTGCAGCCATTTGGGTTATTGGGCTGTATTTCATAGCCTTCCGCACACTGGCACTTGTATGTTCCATATGTATTGATGCATTGCTGACTACAGGGGAAGCCGGAAGAACATTCATCAATGTCTACACATGTTTTACCATCATCCTTCAGTTGGAATCCAGGCCAGCACTTGCACTGAGGAAAGAAATGATCAATGAATGTCACTGTTGTTGTGTGTTGTTTTTGATTATATCTTTAGCAAGGTTCACACTAGAAAGACACTTAAATAGGTAGTAGGAAGTTGTTCTGTCTCCTCCCAAATAACCGCAGTAAAACTACATATATTATGTAAAGTTAAAATAACTTCTGACCTTCTGAATCTCAGAAGATTAAAATTAAAACCACCAAATCCAGGTAGCTAGAAAAGAGTATGGCAAAACCCAGACCTCAGCATATATATTCTGTTCAATCTTTTTCGTTTTTGTTTTGTTTTGTTTCTTTTTTTGGTGTTTCAAGACAGGGTTTCTCTGAGTAACTTTGGAGCCTATCCTGGCACTCACTCTGTTGACCAGGCTGTCCTTGAACTCACAGAGATCTGCCTGCCTCTGACACGCGAGTTCTAGAATTAAAGGTATGTGCCACCAATGCTGGCTGGATCTATTTCATGAACATGTATTTCTTATTTTTGAAGTTATAGTATTATTACAACATTTGCCCCCTCCCTTTTTCTCTCCAAATGCTCCCAGATACCCATCCTGGTCTCTTTCATATTCATGGCCTCTTTCTCATTAACCAGTGTTAAATGCATACAGGTATATACTCCTATATATGTGTGAACTGAAATTAAACTTGGCAGATGCTTATTATTGTTGTTGCAACTGTTCTTGTTCTTGTTCTTAAACCTGGTCTGTTCTGGTTTCTTTATACAAGAGAGTTTGTGAGTATTGAAAACTGACTTAAGAACAAACAACTTAAACAGCTAAAAGAGCATTTTACAGCTACTCATAATAGAAATTTTGTGACCTTTATTTGTTTGAGAATGAAAAAGATGACATACATTTGCATCTGTTAGGAAACCTATCAGATGTTGCATGTTCATAATATTAATTCATAATTTTAATATAAAATATTCATGTAGAAGAAATAAGGTGATATCAGGAAATTAATGTGCTTAGAGTTTAGATAAATATGTTTTATACATGATGAATCCCCAACTTCATTGGTTCTCAGCCTTCCTAAAGGAGCAGTCCTTTGATGCACTTCCTCACAGAGTTGTGAGCTCCAATCATAAAATTATTTTTGTTGATACTTCATAAATGTAATTTACTGAAATTATGAATTATAATGCAAATATCTGTGTTTTATAATGGCCCTAAGCAACCTTAGTGAAAAGGTTTTCAACACTCAAAGGGGTCATGACTGGTATATTGAGAACTACTACCCTAGGCCTTTAGAACTTCCAATTTCCAATTTTCATCACTATTCATCTCATTAGACTCAGCAAGAGTATGTATTGTTTAAATCTCTGTAACCCACTGCCAATCTAAGAAGTACTCCAAAAACCAGTAAATTCGATTTCACACTCTTATTTTCATATCTTAATTGAGAATCTTTGATATCCATCGATAAAAGTCATTCTGCATCCTTAGCTAGTGACCTAAGAGCATCCACTTAGACTAAGTATGTGCTGTTCACAAATAGCACTACACTTAAAAATGTGTACAGTGATGTAGGTGTTAGTGGTTGTACAAACTTTTACTCCCAGCACTGGAGAGGCAGAGGCAGATGGATCTCTACGACTTCAATGCTAGCCTTGTATGTAAAGTAATTAAAAGAGTCAGAGATGTTACACAGAGAAAACCCGTCTTGGAAAAATCCTAAAAAATCAAATGGAAATGGAAAATACTGGAAGAGGTAGGGCACTCAGTAAAGTGTCTGCTGGGCAAGTAAGAGATCCCTAGATGGTATCCCTGATATTCATGCAAAAAGCAATTGAGAACTGAGTTTAGAGAAAGACCTTGTCAAAAAATAACATAGAGATTTATCAAGGAAGATAACTCTTGACTCCATGAGCACTGACATACTTGATTATAGTCACAGTCACAGGCATGTACACACATGCAGCGGCACACACAAAAATTTTAAATTCCTTATGTCACTCAGTTCATAGCTTCTTTTTTATAATGTTGTAAGAAAAAAAGAGAGGGATTTGATAGGATGAGAAATGTTTTCACTTTTGAAAGTACTCTGAATTAAATTACATCATAATTTAGTCCAGAAGGATGAATCTGACTGTTTGACACAAAGTTTGAATCAAAATGCTTTTTAAGCAAAGTTCTGTAGAATGGCTGAATGCCTCTCAGAGAATCCCCATCTAAATGTCGTCCATGAAATGATTGTGGATGCCAGTGTCAGGTGGACACCAGCATTTTTCACATACATAACTTTAATAAATCAAACTTATAGACAAATATATTATGTGTGTGTATAATTATACATGTGCAATGAAATAAATAAAAGTATAAAGTTTATAGTAACTAATGTATATATGCATGTGTATAATTATATATGTGCAATGTTATAAATAATAGTATAAGGTTTATAATAAATATTTATAAATTTTAAAAGTGAAATAATTTAAAAATATTTTTCTCTTCAAGCCAGTAACCTTGCTTAATTTCAAAGTCTTAATCATGATTTGCTAAAATGCTACTGTAAGAAATTTTAGGAGACTAATATGTAATTTTAAAAGATTATAGGTTCAATTTGTTTCTACATGTTAGGTAAATATAAAACTTAAAAATGGTTAACTATTAGATACACACTCTCTTATTAAGTGCTGTCTTGACTCATTTGCTGTTCCTCTTTCTTCTTATGGTATGTGCTTATACATGTATACATGATATAAGTCTATAAGTTAAGCTACATTCTAATATAAAATATAGCCCAATTCATTTCTGAAAAAATAGCTTTCTTCATATTTCTTTTGTTTTATTTTCATTTTTCTACACTAGGGAGACAACCTAATGTCTTGTTCATGCTAAGCAAATATTCTACCCATGAGCTTCATCTTCAAAACTCCTATTTCACCTTTCCTTTCTATTTTTCTGTAGGAAGGGAATGGTTTTGAAATTCTTGGGGTGTTAGGTATACACATACACACAAATATTGTGGTGGTTTGACTGAAAATGTCCCCCAAAGACCCATAAGGAGTAGAGCTATTAGGATGTATGGCCTTGTTTGAGTAGTTATGCCTTCCTCTTGTTGGAGGAAGTATGTCACTGTGGATAGGATTAGGGTTTCAGAAGCTAAGCAAGGCCTAGTATTCATTATCTCTTCCTCATGCCTGGGCTTCCAAACAGAACTGACAACTCCTTCCCCAGAACCATGTCTGTCTGAATGCCGCCATGTATCTCAACATGGTAGTAATTGACTAAACCTCTGAACTGTAACTCCCAATTAAATAGTGTCCTTTATTAGAGATGATGATATCATGGGATCTCTTCACAGCAGGGAAACCTTAATAAAGGCAAAAATTGGTACCAGGGACTGGGGGATTGTTGTGACAGTCCTAACCATAGTTTTGTTTGCAGGAATATGGTCTTTAGGTCTTTGGCTTAGGAAAGCAGTAGAATGTTTTAAGTGTAGCTTAACGGGCCATACTGGGGGTGATTTGAACTGTGGGGGCTTGGATCAATAAGTTTCAGAAGAAAAGTTAGTATGTGTCCTAGAGACTGTTCCTGTACTATTTTGGTGAAGAATGGGGCTGTTTTCTGCCCTTGTTAAAAAATCTGCCCGAATCTAAATCGAAGAGTTCTTCATTAATTTCATCTGTAGAAGAGATTTCCAAACAGCATAGTATAGACTATACTACATGTTTATTAGTGGCCATGCTAATGTATATCTATAAAGAAAATGAACAAACTAATAAAGGAAAGTTACAAAATGTACAACTGAGGAGCTAGGAGGCAACAGAAAATGGTATGGAGCTAAGTCTTATGTTCAAGGGGATAAAAAAGATTAAAGAAAATCCTGATGTCAAATGAAATGCTGGGGGTGCTGACCTCAGGGCAAGGTCCCCATTAAGCTTCCAAATTGTGAAATGGAATTAAAGACAAGTGAATTGCCAGTTATGGTGGCACACACCTTTATTCTCAGCACTCTAGAGGTAGAGGCTGTGAGATCACTGAACTCAAGGCCAGAGTGATTTACAGAGGGTGTTCCAGGGCAGACAAGGTTAGGAAGGTTAGGCTGTGAAAGAAACTGTTGAAAACAGAAAGCTGATGAACATGTAATTGAAGGAGGGGTCAAAATTCCAGTCCCAGCAAGCAGCAGAACTTGTCAGCCTTGGCCATATGTTTTTGGATTTAGAACCAAGGTTACAAGAAATGGGTTATGAAATCTCCCTTCACTACTAAGGAAATGAGTTGAGGCCAACTGTATGTCAGGCGTGTCTCTTAATAGCAATAGAAACCCTAAGAAACATATACATCATATAATTCTTACTATATACAGTTAAATAATCATAATACCAGAAATTCAGAGATTAAAACTAAAACTAGCCAATTGGCTATTAAGTTGAATTTGTATTGTACAGAAATGCTTTATAGAATTCTAGAGAAGTCAGGAAAAACTTACTGGTGTCTTCATGCTGGACACATCTTTTTGCTCAAACCTTCTTTACAGAGTTCACAGAGCTGATGCTGAACCACTGGTGCTGTGTGAAACTACTTGCTCTCACAGATGTAACAACATGACTTAGCCTTTGAGACTATACAAGGTCAACGTGTTTCTTATTATGATATTTTGTAAAGATCTCCCCCCAATAAATGTGCCGTACACCCTTATATGTGTAGATGTGTCATAAGTGTGTATTTTGTCTATGTGTAATTCACTCTTATATGTGTAGATGTGTAAGTCTTATATGTGTGTTTTTTGCCTGTGTGTCATACACTCTTATGTTTGTAGATGTGTAAGTCTTAAGTGTGTGTCTTTTGCCTGTGTGTTGCCTTTATATCTGTATGTGTTTTCTGTTGCCCATAAAGGACAGAAGATGTTGTTGGACCCCAAGGAACAGGAGTTACAGCTAATTTCCATGGGGTTATTGGGAAGTTCACTGGTCCTCTGAAAGATCAGAAAGTACTGCTGAGCCATTTCTCTAGCTACTTGATTTATAAATGTATATAAAATCACACGTTAAGGTTACTTATGATGAACTGCATATGTGTAACTATATACATTTCCCAAGGTGAGTTCTAAAGATACAGAACTCAGTAGAGAAACCTCTGTCTCCAGTGTTATTTCTAACTGGCAATGGGCTGCCTCTTTATTGCCCTGAGTCAGTGTCCAGTTAAAAACATAAAACATAATTTTGGAGTAAGTTATTTTTCTTTCTGTGAGGCAGGGAACTGTGCACAGAACTTTTCACATATGAATGGGATATGCCACCAAAGTAGTTATAGCCTCAGGCTGCAAATTAACTATTCTAAATGTAGTTTCCCAATCAATCATCAATTTCAATAATACTGAGTCAGTGATAGTATAATATATCCATGACATTAAAAACTGTATCTGGCCATCATTTTTCCACTGAGTCATTCTTCTCATGAAAACTGTACTAGTAAAAGTGATGAAGTAATTAGGTATGAGTTAAGTCTACTGTGCTTATTCCAGGTTTTAATAATGCATGAATTATATATTTTCTTTATGATTTTATGATAATGTTGGAGTTTATATTTTAATATGAATAATGTCTACCCATTACACTGAAAGGATGTGCAGGAGGAAGGAGGGGGAAATGAGAACTTTTGTGGAATGTACATTTTTATAGCTTTTATCTTCTCACTATCTCTAAACTCTCCCCTTCCCTTGGGCTGAAAGTTGTGACATTTTTTATTCCTAACTATATTCTTATAACGCTCATATATACATTAGTATCCTTTTTCAGATAGAAATTCTTCTGTAAATCCCTTTACCTAGAAATATTACAATGCTTTTTCAAGTTTTAAGGTCATATTGGAAATAAAGTTTTTATTGTATCATTTTTTGATGTTTGATATGATCTGCTGTTTTTGATGAGTGCCTACCTTGTAACTTACTGGCAAATCCTGACAATCTTGAGAACATCCGCTGACTTTCTTACTCAGACATTCATTTATGTGGCAGTTTCTCTCATCTGAGCCGTCACCGCAGTCATCCCTATTGTCACAAAGACCACTGCTGGGAATGCACCTGCCATTTTTGCACATAAAAAATGAACTGTTGCATGAATGTTCTGGAAAAAGAAAATAAAACATATGGAATATAAAAGGAATGCCTTTGTATGACACTCTTCTAAAAAACACTCGCAAATATGATAACTGGTATGTAAAAAATTACCCTGAGTAAACGTGCATACAAGATGCTGCACAGGTTGGTATCAGGTTTTATGAACAATGTAAAGGAGGCCAAGGGCAAACAGTCTGCTCCTGCTTTACAGTTACCAAAGACCCAGCTTTCCTATGAAATCAATATTCAAAAGAAGCATCTATAGTAATATTAATGTATTCTATCTCATTCACACTGTGAATAATGAGTTCAAATGTGTAAAGATGACTTGACATTTCCTCCAAGCTATGGATCTCTGAGAAATTATTTGTCACTAAAAGCCAAAAAGGTAGAAGAGTTGGGTAATGATAAATTCATTTCTTCCAGAAAATATAGCACTGAAATTTTTAAGTCAGGGCATCATAAAAAGATTTAGAAAGAGTTCAACTTGCAGCTACCTAAACTGGAATGCTGACCATTACAGATCATAGTATTTAGTCAAGAAAAGAAAGCTTATTAACATGTACAGGATATCAGCAAAATTGAGTTTGGATTAAAATACATGACTAAACAGTTTTTGTTATAATGAAGTGCTACATAAATTAGTTTGGTTGGGCATTTCTGTGAGTGTGTACATGTTTGTACATAATATGTTCTTCTATTTTTGTTCAAAGGATATGTAATATCTAATTTGTGTATGGATGCACAATATGGATTATTTCTAAGTAAATATTTTCTAATATATTATCATTTTAAAATTAATTGAAATGTGATAATTATAAGTATTAATGGAATAAATAATAAGTAATATTATTTATTCCATAAAATTAAACATTATTACAGAATAAAGAATTAGTCTAATAATACTTTAAATTTTAATTTAGTTTATACTTTATATAAGCCTATATAGAAAAATTTTCCCTGTAAATAAAATGCCAGTACAAAATTAAAGATGGATATTGTAATATATGCCACATGCCTTTAATTCTGATATTTAAGAGATGGGTGCAAAGCTGGGCGGTGGTGGCACAAGCCTTTAATCCCAGCACTCGGGAGGCAGAGGCAGGCAGATCTCTGTGAGTTTGAGGCCAGGCTGGACCAACAGCCTCCAATACAATACAGAGAAACCCTGTCTCGTAAAACAAAAAACAAAAAAAAAGAGATGGGTTCAAGAGAGAAGTTAGAGATCATATTTGGTTATACAATTTGAATTAGTCCAAACAATACAAGAAACTGCCTCAAACCAACAGCAAAGAGGTAAGAGAGTAGAATAATGAATCATAAGGTTTGGCACAACCTTAAATGTAAACAGTAGAAAATTCATGGAACTAGTAGAAACATCATGTGTCTGACTCTGTGTGTCTACTTCACTGTGTACCTAACCAGACATAAAACAAAACAAAGTTTCAAAATCATGGCATGGTGATTCATGCTTCTCATTTCAGTGCTCAACAGGTTGAGACTAGAGAATTCCAGGATTGAGGCCAGCCTAGACTGTATAGAGAAACCCTGTCTCAAAGAAACAAATGTAAAAACATGAGAAGAAAGTTTAGTATGAATAGAGTACTCCAGAGTGTAGTACCTGCACTTCTGCACTTGGGGTTGATTGGTGCCTCATCGGAACCATCAGGACAGTCAAAGTCACCATCACACTGCCATAGAGTGTTCACTAGGCAGCGTCCATCAGCACATTGGAACTCTTCTGCACCACACTGCCGGTACCCTAGAAAAGATCAAACAAGCATTCTACAAGCTCCTATTACAAAAATTAATCAACCCTCCACCTTCTTGGTGCACAATACATCCAATCAATTGGGCCATGTACCTCTGTGGAAAGTACTTCTCATTTCTTTCCATTACTTGTTGTGTGAAAGCAGGAATAAAGGCCAAATATAAACTTGGAAATAAGGTACCAGGTTTCTAGACAATGAAGATTACATAATCAGCTGTGTCTATTCAGTGACTGTCTACATCCAACCCATTTCTTTTAGGATGTAAAACAGAATGGAAACTACTAGAACCTACTTCCATACTTGATTTCTTGGTTAGATATATTTTCAGAACATATGGATAAACTGAGCCTGAGCTATAGAAACCATTCACTGTAACCATAGTGTTATATTTGTTCTTGGCAAAATCATTCATTGTAAAAAGAAATTGCTAAAATAAGGAAAAATAAATAAATTTTATGTATAGAAGTATGAGCATGAAAATCTTTGTAACTATCCTTTACGCAAATTCTTAGGATCACCTATCCAATATGAAGATTTTTAGGATCATCCAAAGTCAAACCACAAAATAAGCTCTCATTTGCTAAGGTTTACATCTGTTTGTTTATGTGAATTATATGTTTTTGATTTTTAAATTGGAATTTATAATGAGATTTCCCTATTCATAGATTGTAAACAAAGTCGTTCCTTGTAAGTATTAGTAAACCATGGTAGTTGTTGTGATTTTAGAGGTAGAATTTTATGGCTTAATAAAGTTCTAGTAACACAGACAACTCATTGCACATCTAGTGAAAGTGTTTGTCACACTGAATGATGAAACTGTAGTCTGCTATAGCATACTGTTATCACTGCACTAGCCATTTGTCCTTGCTAGCAGGTACAGCAAGTCCTTGCTAGTCCAATCAGCAGCAAGTCCACCCTTATGCCTATAAGCACAGTGCTTTGCTTTTCTTTCCTGCAAAATCTTGTCTCTACTTAACAACTTTCAGTACCCATTAATTAATTAAACATCATTGCTTGTAACATCTTCCTTCAGAAATTCCTCTTAGAAATTAAAAGGAAAAATGCTAAGCAAAGACTGTCAAATTCAAGTCTCTCAGGATTCTAACTGATCAGTTTTTGGCAGCATCTTTGTTGCTCTTGACTGCACAGTCTCTACCTGGTTAAGTATCCATAATCCACTCTCCAGAGCTTTCCCTCAATCTTCCTGTGTGACACCCCTTCCTAATCCAACTTACAGGGCTGCAGGTGAAACCCTGAACTCCATCTCTAGAATATTGCTTTCTTTTTTTTTTACAATTTTCATTTCTTTACTGTTTATTTCTTACTTTTGTTTTGTCTCTGTCTGGCTCTTTCCTTCACTGTGCAAAGTTGAGAGCAAACCTTAGTGCTAATGACCAACATAGTAACGTGGCACATCCACACCACATTTGTGGTCTCTAAAACCACAATTGCAAATCCCCAACCATTTATTGCACATCTTTTCTGCACCATAAAAACTGATTCTCACTCAATTGTGTTATAATGCCATTCATAAATTCATGGGAACTGGAAATGCCTTTATCCTGCCCATACCATGGCTGAACAGCCAAGAGTGAGCTCCAAGTGTACTTTTCCATTCCACATCACCATTCATTATATGGTTTATAGTTACATTGTTCACCTTTAGGATATTCCACTAACTTCCTGTCATGATGGGGGAAGTCCTTCTGTGTACATGTTGGTCTTATTGGTTGATAAACAAAGCACTGTTGGCTAACAGGGAAGAAATATGTATGAGACTAGAAGTGATGGAGGATTCTGAGAAACAAAGGAACAGTTAGTCACCAAGTATAAGACAAGAGGAGGAAGAGGTCTGGACCCTTTCTCCGGTAAGAGAAGACCACATGGAAATATTCATATTAGCAGTTATGGGTTAATAATTAACTCAGAGCTAGCCAATAAGAAACCATAATAAACAGCCAACATCTTCATAATTATTATAGTGTTCTGTGTGTTCACTTGAGACTGATGGGGCTCTGGGACCAGGCTGGCAGGAAGAATGCTCTTTACACTGTCATCTTAGGTTTCTTCTTGTCCCTGTCAGTATTTATCCTACTATCATGAAAGAGATGGTTCTATAGCTTATATTTTACTGTGACATGCCATTTCCCTATATCACACATTTTAACACCAGGATTTGGGAGGCAAAGGCATTGGGACTTCTGTGGGTTTGAGCGTAGACTAATCTACTCAGCAATTTCTAATCCAGTCACTTATTTCAGATGATAGGGAGATGATTGATAGATAGATGACCAAAGAGGATTCTATGTTATATTGTGATGTAATACTTAGAATATATTGAAGGACTAAAATATCAGATAATTGTAAAACTAAATATAGTAAGATTTCACAAAGCCCACATGGAAGATGAAAGGTAGAATACCAGAGATGGATGAAGAATGGCTCTAGGTCCACCTCAAAGAGAAGACAGAGTAAGCACACAGTATACTACACTGTGAGAAGCTGACAGAATACTAAATCCATGAAACTGGGAGGATATATTTGGGTTGGGTCCACAGTCCAACAAGGTCAGACGGTTACACTGAATTTCTATCATTGATGGGAGGTTGGTGATGATACATATCTAGGCACAGGGGCTGTATTTGTATATGCATTGTATAAATTAATTCATTCTTGACATTTAAATATTTAAAAGCAACCAGACTTAGAGAAAACAAAAACTTAAACTGAATTTTAGTATATAACTAATTTACTCAAATTATTCTATTCTGGAAAGAATATATGGTGGTCATATATTAGTTATGATTTATTAAATTTTTCTGGAGGATTCTGAAATAAAAGTCAGTCACAAGCCATAGGAGCCAGGCACAAATCTATAATTCCATGACTCAGGATTAAGAGATAGATGGATCTCTGAGTTCAAGGCCACCCAGGGCTACACGAGATTAAATCAGTCTAAAAGAGTAACAGAGTTCATGTCTTTAATCCCAGCACTAGGGAGGTATATTTGACAGTAGTAGGGTCTTTGGTAGTCAATCTTGGGATTAGTTTATAGCCATGTTGAGGAGAGCATAGCAGTCTGAATGAATCTGAAAAGAAGTAAAGTTAGGAGCAGTATGAGGATCACCCCTTTTTTCTGAGCTGAACTACAGGTAAGAGCTAACGACCAGCTGTTTGCTTTCCTGATCTTCAGCTTGAAGCTTGAACCCCAATATCTGTCTTATAATTAGATAAACAATGTAATGCAGAGGTATATTTGGTGATCATAATGTAAAATTTGAACATGAAGTAGTGTATATATCAAAGTAAAAGATGAAAGAAAATGCTAAGTACATTTTTTCTTGATAGCTTATATGTTATATAGCAGAATTTAACATAATTTTTGGGGGGTTGTTTGGATGTCATTATTTTCGCAAGTATTTTATTAAACTGTAAGATTGAACAAGATAGTCATTGCTCATTTGAAATTTCAAAGTAACCCTAACTACGTTTACACAAAGGTTCCTTCCAGCCATTTTCCAATTTGAATGCTAATTGTTCTGAATCCATAATAAGAGGAAATGGTTTTCAAATGAGTGTACCTATGCGGGATTTTAAAAATTCCCCCACTCCATTGTGTAATACTAAATTCACTGACTTTAAGACACTAATAAACACCTATATTTATTTTGGTTACTTGTATATCTTAGAGTCCCTTTAACAAACCTTGAATGGATAAATCCTATGAAACGTCATACTCACCACACTGCAGGAACTCATCTGAACTATCTCCACAATCATCATCGTGGTCACACACAAACTGCTTGGGAATGCACACCTTATTGCGGCACAGGAAAGCGTTTTCGTCACATGTATTATTGGGTGCTAAGAAATTACATAAAGTAAAATTATGTGAGCACATAATTTATCTTCTCTCATACTTGAAGTGTACAGTATGAAACTTTTTTCTATCAATTTCTAGGTACTCCAAAAATTAAAAAATTCTAGCATATTGCCATTAAATGTATTAGGTAAATGGATGATCTCATATGTATATTAAAATTCTAATGCTTGCATGCATGACTCGAAGGTTAATTGAGTGAGCAGAAACCATTAATGTCCATGACAGACATGGAGGATACACCAGGAAGACTGAGAGTGTCACTGTTCCTATAAGAAAAATCTTTTGGTAGCCTTCAAAAAAGACTTGTGCAAGGCAATGAACTAACATGTGCAAGGCAATGAATCCCATCATAATTCTACCAATACCATGAATGCTGACTCTTGCAATGGGATATTGATCTTAGAGGAACGCAGTCACATGGAAGCAGTGTTCCAGCAAGATCTATGTAATGGCTGATTCAAATGTGTAGTAAAATTCATTCAGAGAAAATCCACTTTGATTCTATATGCACAGAACCACAAACCTTAGCAGAATTCTTTACAGTCAACTAACAGTACAGCTGCTATACTGCTCGAGGTTCAGGGTGTTGTGAAAGTTTCAAATCTGTGATCTGCTATAGTGAAATGGCAGCTGCACAAGTCTCATAAATGGCTCTGTTTTTGCCTGCTTGAAAAAGTAAGCACCTTCTTTGTTCATCTGTTTCTTCGTCTGCTTAATGCGGATAATTAAATCAATCCCATAAAAGTATGTAGCACTTATCTTTCAAGTTAGGTTCAGCAATTCATAGGTACTCTCAGAATTCCTATTTCTATACGAATTCTAGTTATTATTCCCATGTATTTATAATGTAAATAAAAACTGCCTTAAATGAAAAATCTTACGACTGTACTGATTAACACACAATGGGTATTAAAAACAGTAAACACTGCTGTCCCCTTGGAAAATGCCTCATGTCTTTGTCTTTCAAGATGCAATAATATGGTGCAGTTTTCAATAAATCAGCACAAGATTATTGGTATATTTTTTGTGAAGATCTAGTGTCCTTTAAGTACATCACTCTGAGAATTGAGATTTTTACAGTTACTTTCCCACATACCTCCCAGTCTCCTGTGGCCAGCTCCCTTTACACCAGATGATCCAACTTTCACTATCCTCTTAGTAATTGTCAACATAGAATCATAAACAGTAAAACAGAAAGGATCCGTGTGTGTGTGTGTGTGTGTGTGTGTGTAGTCCAATATAATTGACTTTCTACTAATTTATTTTGATCTGCTGTGTAGAAGTCACACATAAGTAGCATTAAGTTTGCACATTTTAATTAATGTGAACCTCAGAGTTGTTAATAAGGCATCAACTTTGAGCTGTGACAGTTTCTCTAACTGAAGTGAATTATGTCAATCCTGACAAGTATGTTTTTCTTTAAAGCAGAGCAACAGCAACTTATTTTTCATTAACACTATCAGGTCACTTGACTACAATTTGTTATGTTTTAGCATTATTCATTGAATAATACCCATGTGGTCTACAAATGTTAATGTACCTCCCAGGGTACTAACTTACTACAATAGCAATAGCATGTGGGATCATCTGGATTTCTGAATATATTCAGAGTCCTTTGTAATTCAGCCCTCTGTGGCAACATTGACCTTCCCAGAAACACATCGGCTTCAAGATCACAGTTTTGTATATTCTACAACAGGATGAGTAGTAAGCAAGTAAGGCTGTATCAAATGTTTTATGTTTTGCTTTTATTCCTTTGACATACATAGGTGACAACACATTCACACATTATATTTTAAAGACATGAAGATTGGGTCTTTAAAATCAATTATAACTTTGTCAGATTTCACTGAACACACTGAATCTGACAAACAGAACCTTCCTGAAAAACAACCTGCTCAAGAGATCATTAGTTGGTCTTGACATCTACAGACACATGCTGAGGTTTCTCATCCTCCTGATCATGCAAAAGAGTTTATGAAACTTTTACTGTTCAGTCTCTCCTTGAAATGACTTTGAGTTAGAAAGTTTGTAAATTATCTGACCGCAAAGGTTTTCCTCTTGATCCTACAGTTCCCTTCAGTCCTATTGATGCTTTCTTTATCTGACCCAAGGGTTAATATCACATATCTAGAATTGAAAGGTGTCCACTGACTTCCTGAACCATATTTACCTAATAGCAGCCATTTATAGCGTATCTGTAATAGGCATTTCAAAAACAATTTGAAGGGGATAGTGGCTTAACAGGAAAATTCTGTACATAATGGAGTTGTACTATTTTGGAGCTTAAATAGTAAACTTGCAGTCAGTGAAATAGTTTTTAAATTGGTGCTGACATTGAGCATTTAAAACACTCTGAATGTAGAAGAAATGATAAACTACTATTATTATAACATCTCATCTGGACCCTAGAGGTCCAAGGATAGGGAAAGTGAAAGAAGGATATTGTGGTATGAGAAAAACAATCCCCCAATATTCTGCAGCTGATGCCTTAGACACAAAATGTCAGTTAATGTTCATACCACAGCCTGCAGAGGAGAGCTCATCACTCCCGTCGGGACAGTCTCTCTCACCATCACACAGCCAGTGTTGGGGCACGCAGGCATGGGAGCCCTGGCAGCTGAACATGTCAGAAGCACATGTAATAGCACCTTAAACCAAAAGAAAAGTGTTATTAAATCATGTGCATCCACTAAAAACTAGCCACAGTTCATCTTTCCTGTAGAAAGAAGGAAGAAGGTCTTGCATGCAATTAAGAAAAAGTAATTATTTACAGTCATTGATTATGCTGTCCTAATGAGTGTGGACATATTCTTGTTTAAGGATATATTCTTTCCTAGTCTCAAGTCCTATTGTGTTTATAAATGTACCATGCAAGTAGTATCTCATCTGTTGAAAAAAACACCAAAGAATGTCCAAGAATGTTTAAAACAATGACATGAAGGAAATGAACCTACACAGACAGGAAAACTAGCAGAGACAATGATGACAATGTTTCATAACTTAGCATATGCCAACTAATCAATGTGTCAGCTCCTTTAGTCCTGTAGAAGTATTACTTAACATATTCACAGAGAAGGACATCAGCTTCCACAAACTGAAAACTTGGAGAGATCTCTAGGGAAGCACACCATGGTGACCTGGATGCACAGATGTTTCCTTCTGGCTCTAAGCACATTCTCTCATTTGCTAATATGAGCATTGTTCAGTTTCATCATACATTTGCTACAAAGACTAAAGCTTGCTCCCTTCTCCTTTATCCAGAATCTGCCTTCCTGCTTCTGTAACTTGTCCTCATGAGCTGTCTGATGCCTCTTTCAACACTTGCTGAACTGGCCTATAAATTCACAGGGACACAGACAGCTTCTGCATTAGCATACAGTGATCACACATCAATGGCTAGTTGTGTGCTTAACCACTTCCATACAATTTATCTTCAATGATTAGTTTATTTGTATACATAAAATGTTTGTTGGGTGCCACTCACTGACCCCCAATCCCATCCCCTTTCTGTTCCCCAAGTAGAGTGAGGCCTTCCATGGGAGATCTTCAAAGTCTGTCATATCATTTGGAGCAGGGCCATGTGTTTAGGCTGAGTGACTATCTGTCTATGTGGAATGGGCTCACAAAATCCATTCGTATACTAGGGAGAAATACTGATCCACTACCAGAGGCCTCATAGATTGCTCAGACCTCATAATTGACACCCATATTTAGGGAGTCTGGATTGGTGTTATGCTGGTTTCCCAGCTATCTGTCCATGAGTTCCCCCACCTTCAGGTTTCTATGGGTTTCTCCAGCCTAGTCTTGACTCCTTTGCTCATCACTCCTCATTCTTTGCAACTGAATTCCAGGAGTTTGGCTGAGTGTTTAGCTGTGGGTATCTGCTTCTGCTTCAATCAGCTACTGATTGAAGGCTCCAGGATGGCATATAAGGTAGTCATCAATCTCATTATTGGGGAAGGGTGTTTAAGGTAGCCTCTCTACTATTGCTTAGATTCCTAGTTGGGGCTCATCTTTGTAGATCTCTGGACATTTTCCTAGTGCCAGGTTTCTTTAAAACTATAATGGGTCCCTCTATTGTGTTATCTCTTTTCTTGCTCTCTTCTATTCTTCCCCTGACTCAAACTTCCTGCTCCCTCATATAGTCCTCTCCCCTCTTCTTCTACCCTTCTCTTTATCCTAACTCCCTCTCATGTCCCCCCATGCTCCCAATTTGCTCAGGAGGACCATGTATATCTCTCTTAGGGTCCTCCTTGTTTCCTAACTTCTCTGGCAGTGTGGATTGTAGGATGGTAATCCTTTGCTCTATTAGACTGAAAAAACTCAACTTTTAAATTTTACTTTTGATAAAATGTTCAGAATATATGTCAACAACATACTTCCATGATTTCTGTTATAATATTTTGTGTACCTATAAAAGGATATAGCAAGTGAAACTTCTTTAACTAACAATTGTAAGGTTCTGTGTTCAATTTCCAGAAATGCAAGAAATGAATAGAAAAAAATAGAAAGAAAAAAAGGACTGATTCAATTGACAGAAAATATTTGCTTCTAATCATACAAACCAGAACTAATGCACTTTAATAAGTGATTATTGTCTTTTCACTGTTTAGTCATATGATTACTGAGAGAATAAGGTGTTTCTGAGACTATTCTTCTCAGACCATGCAGCAGATGACTGTGCCCCTGAGAGACACAGGCTTTCCTAACACTAGTTACCTTTACATATATGAACCAAGAAGAAAGGTTTTGAAGAACTGATTATTTCGATGTTAAGAGTGAATAATATAACACAAAATGGGGCTAAGTGAAGAGACAAGAAAATAATCTATAAAATAATTGCTGCCTTCATTTAAAGAACTCAAAAAGCAAGTCTCCAAAACACCAAAGGATCCAATCAAAAAGTTGGGTACAGAACTAAATACAGAATTCTCAGCAGAGGATTCTAAAATAGATGACAGACACTTAAAAACGTGCTCAACATCCATAGCCGTTCAGGAAATGCAAATCAAAACAACTCTGAGATACTGTCTTACTCCTGTCAGAATGACTAAAATGAAAAACACCAACAACAATGTGCTGGAGAGGTTGTGGTGAAAGGGAAACATTCCTCCACTGCTGGTGGGAGTGCTAACTTGTACAGCCACTTTGGAAATCAGTATGGAGATTCCTCAGAAAAATGGGAATAATACATTCCACAAGACCCAGCAACTCTTCTCTTAGGCATATATCCAAAAGATGCCGATTCATACAACAAGGATGTCTGTTCCACTATGTTCATAGCAGCATTATTTGTAATAGCCAGAACTTGGAAGCAACCTAGATGGCCCTCAACAGAAGAGTGGATAGAGAAAATGTGGTACAATTACACAATGGAGTACTATTCAGCAGATTTGCAGGCAAATGGATGGCACTAGAAGAAACCATCCTGAGTGAGGTAACACGTCACAAAAAGAGAAACATGGCATGTATTCCCTCATATGTGGATTTTAGACATAGATCTGGGGGGTCCCAGCCTACAATCCCATGGCCAGAGAGTCTGGAAAACAGAACCTTCATTCAGTGGCTGATGAAAGAAGAGGCAGACTCCCACGGCTAAGCACTGAGCTGATCTCAAGAAATCCAGTGACAGCGAGGGAGGACTGATGACCAAAGCGGTTAAGACTTGGCTGGTTTAACCCCCAGAAACAGCTGACCTGACAAGGGTTAGCTCTTGAATCCCAGACTGACGCCTGAGAATCCAGCATGGGACTGTTCAAGACCCCCTGAATGTGGGTGTCAATGAGGAGGCCTAGGTAAACTATTGAGCCTTGGGTAGTAGATCAGTATTTATGCCGGGTATACAAATGGACTTTGGGCTCCCATCTAACACTGAGAGATGCATTCTCATCCTGAACTCTTGTGGGAGGGTCTAGGCTCTGCCCTGGATAAAATGACAGACTATGGACACCTCCACGGAGGGCCTCACCCTCCCTGGGGAAATAAGGGGATATTGGAGGGGTTGGTGGGAGGGTATGGGAGGTGGGGAGGGAAACTGAGAGCGACCTGGAATTGACATGTGAAGCAACCTTGTTTCTAATTTAAATTTAGATTTAAAAATAAAATATAAAAAAATTAACTGCTATTTTATACTGTTGACTTTTAAAACAAGTATCTTCCCCCAGAAATTATTACATAAGTACCTTATTTTCAAGTAATTTTCAATATTAAACTCATAATAACTTCTGTAATTATGGCAATGCTGTGATCAAATTCTTCCAGGACTTCGAGATTTCTCTTGTCTAAATTTTCTCTCATGCTAGAAAAAGAGCTATGAGTAGGTAATTATAAAGACATCTCCAACTAGGAAATGACATTATGTTTTTTGCAGCCAATTTGATGGCTCCCTTGATAGTGTTCAATGGATTCTGAATGAAAAAACTTCTAAAACACTAAATCAACTGGGAAGAAACTGTCCATAGAGAACCTCATGCTGTCATTTCCTAGTTGCAACTTCCATCTGGCATAGCATTCAGCAAGGAAATTTTATCCTTGGGGATTATAAACGCATACTGAAAACCATTCACCATGCCATACTTGTGCTCTGCTCATACAAGAATAGCTGATTGGTAAAGATCTGTATCCTAATAATATGTTGGAAATTGGAAATTTGTCTCTACCTCTGCCATCAGCCATTAGCTCCATTATTTCATGTACATTTATTAATCTCTATGCATTTCCCTTTTTTCACATATCAAAATCTAGAGATGGAGTGCAGTGTGAATTTCAATGTTGAGCTCCTCAATATGGCATGTCAGAGATACAATCCATTTGGTAAAAATCTTGTTCATACACATCATCTTAATATTTGCAAGTGAGGGTCTAAAATCTATAATTCAATGAATTTCTAAAAAATAATTATTTTGGTACAGTACATGTTGTGAGTCACTAGGTGAGTTGTTTGTAAGATTGTCTTTTGATTCTAAAATATTAGATTCATTTGCTGATTGAAATTTGGTCACAAGAGGTAGTTCTTGTTTATGATTATATTGGTAAGGAAGAAAAATAGCCTATACATAAATTGAATTTACTCATTATTTTAAATGCAAATGAAATGTTTCTGTATCATTTTCTTCATTACTTAAAAGCATTTTCAAGACATTGAGAGAGAGAGAGTAGAAAGGGAGCGAGAGAATGAGGGAGAAAGAGAATGACAGAGATAATATCACTTGAACAGAAAGGTAAAAAGACAGGAAGGAGAACCAAGAGAAAGAACAGGAAAAGTCTCAAGTACACAGTGCATGATAATCATGACAATTATCTAGACAAATCTTTCCATGTCTTTTTATCAGTGGAAAAGTCAAGAAATGAGTAAAGAAATTAGTTTCCTATGATTACATGCCCTGAAATTCAGATATGAATGCAGTGGATCTGTACAGGTCTAATCTTCTGCCCCTTCCATTAGACTGTGTTTTTAAGAAAGTATCAGTGGAACGTTTTAGTGCCTAGAACTGAAAGATTTATAGCAAGGGAACAAATAGAGGAGCTAACGTCATGTAACTAATCAATATTTCTTGTGTTTAAAACATTTTGATAATTACTCTTATGTTTTATATTTCTATCTTACACAACTCTATATTGCTCCAACTGCATAAAAATATTCTTTGGGGATGTCATAAATTCAGTAAAATAAATTGCCTGTTTCAGGAGATAATGCCAATTTTATGTTTCCATTGGACAATTCTATCGAGGTTGAGAATTATAAAGAACTTGGGTCTCTTATAACAACCTAAACCGCTGGCCAATCTGCTGAAATGTGAATGTAGAGAGACAGTCAGCTTTGTCTAGACATCTGAGTTTATTTCTCAGTCTTCCTGTCTCTAAAAGGGCACTTAGCACTTGAGAAATCCAAGTAGTAGTTCCATATGAACCACATAATAAACACTTATGATTATTAAAATGTAAAATACTGCCTTTGCAGCTGAAATACATATCATATATTTAGTATAATACATAGTAGGTAAATATAGACATTTAACACTACAATACCAAAAATATTGAATTTAAAAGTACTTTGAAAACAGTATAAATTTGCCAAGTTTCTTTATTTCCAATTTACAACAGTGCACTAGCAATGCTTCCATACAAAATGGGCACACAAAGAACATAGGTGGTTAATGGCAGTGAAAATCTTTATACTAACTTTTGGGAGACGACACAGCTATATACTTATGTGTCATAAAATGATTATTTTGTCTAATCATGCCAATCAATGGAATTTCCTGCAAAGGAGCATTGTAAACTAGATATATGAAGGGCAAATGTGATTATTTGATGCCACTCATGCAAAATTCCACATATCGAATATGTGTACTTTGAAAAACAAAATAATAGAGGCTTGATGCATGACTCAGTGATTAAAAACATGTACTGTGTTTGCAGAAGATGGTAGTTCAAATACTAACACCCGTATTATGTAGATCCTAACCACTTGTAATCCTTGTTCATGTCACATATCTTATCTATATTTCCACACAGAGACACACCAGTATACATATACTTAAAAATAAAATCTTAAGTCAAAAGAGTACCTGTAGCTTTAAAATATAAGAGTGCATATGAAAACAACAAAATCAATTACATATAAATAAAAATTTCAAGGTGTTTAATACATTGGCAAGCACAGATATATGCTATATGTCAAACATACATGCTACTTAAAAATTCACAGGAGTATTTTTTGAGAGCTCAAAGGAAGCTGCTCACCACAAATGCTGTCACTTTCATCTAGACTGTCTCCACAGTCATCCTCACCATCACAGATCCAGTGTTTAGAAATGCATTTTTGTACAGAACAAGCAAATTGGTTCCAAGAGCAAGAAGAATCTGGAAAACAAAAATCATTATTTTAGTGGAAACACCAGAAACATAATTTCTGGAGGTCTATTAACCAATAGTACAACTACATACAATGATATTATATTTTTAAGAACCTGCATGAAAAGGTTTCTACTACAATGAAAATTATAGAGGAAATAGGTATTTTACCCTTGTTTGAACCTTCCACAATGTGAACATCAATCAAAACGTCACTTGGCAACTAGTTAACATACATAACTGACAAAGGTTAATTAATTATAAGCAAGATAATCTTAAAATAGATTTTACTGTGACAAAGATTTTTCTTAGACACTTTCTACGTGTTTTCTAAAACCAAACCATGTTAAAATTAAATAAACTAAGATCTTAATTTGTATTGTGACTCTGTATAAAGGCCAACAGTTTACAAATTCCTGTGCTTCCAGCTTATACAACCTTATCCTTACAGTATACCCCTTACGTGGCTTACCTCTTAGCTAGAGAATATGCTGACTACACTCTTTAAAAATCCCCTTCACCAAACTAGGTGCAGAAGGTAGAATTTTCTTTAACGTATTCAATCTTAATGACTAAGAAAAAAACCTGTATCATGAACAAGCATATACATGACCAAAAATATTTGTTTCCAAAGATGTGAAGAATGAGGTTCAAGCTTGACAAAACAAAACACAAAAACAATAGCTAAAATGCTTGAGGTTGTAAGTTTTAGTAAGAACTCCAAAATTCATTAGAAGCATGACAGTTTTTCATATAGGTTAGATATTTTTAATAACACATCTCTTTACTTTTTACAGTGTCAGTGTTTCCATTGTCCTGCTTCAGCTCCTGTTTTGTTTCCACCTAGCACAGTGCTTTATCAAGTGGCATCCCAAAATTAAATCCTCCTGAATGAAATTATTCAAAACATACATTTTCATTAAAATATCAATTTGGCTTTGTGACTGTTGATCTTCTTGTCAGACTCGAGAGATTGAGAACCAGAAAAGAAACAATTCTCTCAGCATATCTGTAAGGGGCTATTGTGAATAGGTCAACTGGAGAGCGAAGACCCACCCTAAATGTGGGGTGAGGCCTGGGGCTGAATACCAAGTTGAAAATGAGTTAAGTACAGTGTTTATTATTCTCTGTTCTTTGAATTTGGTCTCTGTGTGAGAAGCTGCCTTCTGTTCCATGCCTTTTCTGTCACCGAGCTACAAACCCCAACAAAACCTTCTTACCTTAAATTGTTTGTGCCAGCAAGAAATGAACTATCTTTTCAAAACACATATTTTAAGTGGTGTATTTTGCTACCAAATATTTAGTGAGCTAAAGCAAATTTAGGCGATTTTATTTAAGGAAATTCAAAATTTAAGAAAATGTAATTCTATAATACATCACTGTTTAGAAATTATGAATTGACAAGACTATTTTTGAAGTTATTTTTCTGGAGCAGAGTGAATATGTGCAGAATTTTAATTACAAAGAACACGTTTCATGATTTCCCATGGAATTTACTTTCAGGAGAGTTTGACATTTCACAAGGGATTAATTTTTAACCTTTTCCCAGCTTCATTCACCACATTGTGCATGTGCTATAATAAAAGAGTGAATAGAGGCAAGTTTGTCCTACACAAAATCATAAATTTTATGCTATAAAATCTTGTTTCTTTTCTTTTCAAACATAAACTAACTTTGCACAAACAAAAATAACGAAAGAGCAAGAAAGAGACAAGAGATTATTCAAAATCATGTCCAAAATTAATACAAAATTTAAAATCATTTTTGAGACATTGTTTCTCTGTATTTCTTTGCAGCCTGTCCTGGCACTTGCTCTGTACATTATGCTGGCCTTGACCTTACAGAGATCTGCCTGCCTCTGCCTCCAAGTACCGGGATTAAAGGTGTACCACCACTGCCTGGCCTAAATAATTTTTAATTTCTAAGAACATATATGTATTTTTGAAGTATTTTTCTCACAGCAGAAGGTAAATCTATTAACAGTACCTGAAATAAATACATCAAAATAGAAGGTACCACATTTACAATAACGGGGATAACTATTATTTTAAGTATAAAGTTATAAGAAAATTCTGGGACAAAAGGTTGTTATGGTATATAATAATTGTCTGTGTTTACTTTTATAGTGTATCAGCAATATTGTGCATAAAATCGCTAAGAATGGAAACACCAGAATATGAGTAGTAAAATGTGCAGCTCATAGAAGAAAGCAGGGTAGAGAGAGGCTCACCACAGTGCAGCTCATCCAGCCCATCCTCACAGTCCTTCTGACCATCACACACCCAGGTATTCAAAATGCATCTTCCACTAGGACAACCAAAATAATTCTCTTCACATTTGTGTTTGTTTTGAACTATGATAAAACATAGAATGCAGTGTCAAATATGTTAAATTAATGTGAGTCTTTGTCAGTGCATGGAGACACAATATTAATACCATGTGAGTTGGAAGAGACAAACCAGAAAATGCAAAATTCCTCCAAGTCCTAAGGAATGGCAAAGTTACAATGATGACCCAAGAATAAGAAACTATCCCAAATAATAGGGAACATCTTTTGCCAAGACTTCACTGTAAATCAATCCAATGTTGGTCCTAGAACTGGGAGCAGCGGTTGAGGGAAATATTGGATTACTTGCTGAATAAGTTTAATGTGATGATTAAATAGTAAAGGTAAAATGATGGAAATAACTGAATTCACTCAATGAAAGAAGGCAAAGTATCATAATTGTATTGGAAATATGAGTTCTGTGTTTATAATAAAAGTGTGTTCAATATCTGTCACTGTTTGATTTTAAAAAAGGAGAGGTGTATTTAATATTTCTATTGACTTTTCTGGGATATGGCTTGGTAGGAATGAACAATATTCTCAGTTTTAAGAAAGATTGCCCTCCCTGGGGAGTAGAATGGGGATAAAGTGGGGGTGAAGGGTTGGGAGGATAGGGGGGTAGGGGAGGAGGGGAGGGAGAGGGAACTGAAAGTGACATGCGTAAAAACTTAAATAAAAAATATGCAAAAAAGAAAGAAAAATTATATGATAGAACTTTGAAATTGATTCCTATAATTTATTTAACCACCCCACTGAATTAATCCATTGTTAATCATTTAAAATTATTCTTTATTTTCTGTAAATATATTTTTAGTGAACTCATCAATCACACAAAATTATTATACACACTATATCTGCTGAGATGATGCATAGACCACCTGATATGTATAGCTCTACCTGCTGCTTGGTCCTACTCTACCTGTCTACCTTCCATTGTGTGAATGAGAATTCTGCATTTTTACCTAGTATAAAACTGTTTTAATGTTGAAAAATAGCTTTTAAATAATGTGTTAATCCTGGAAATGTATAATTTTATAACAGTAAAGAAACACTAGTTTAATGATTATCAAGTAATGTTCTCTTGCAGATAGTTATTTTCAAAATTAACTGCAGATATAATGATGGAAAGAATGTGTCACTGTAAATATAACTAACTTTAGATTAATAATCTTGTCATCCAAGATCCATGAAACTAAAAGAATAAAGTTGTTCCCCAGTCTTTAAAAAATATTAATTCATCCTGTCTACAGACCATCATGGTTCTCTCTGACCCCATCAAGCCCCATCTCTCAGGCACATCTCTAGTTCTGTAATAGAATGTAATTAGCAACCTCCCTTTCACCAGTGGTACTTCCTATGAATACCACAGTATCCCTTCCTTACCTCCATCCTTGACTGGTCACTAAATTCTAGACTTTGATAGCTCTAGACATTACCTGTGAACACACTAGCCAAGAGGTCAACAAAACAGGCAACAAATACCTATCATGCTCTGACAGTTCAGAGGGGAGCAGAATCCAAGGAATAAAACAACTACCCAATAAAGACAAATCCAGAAATAAGCACCCTAAGCTCAAACCTCTAGTGGCCATCTTCAGAGCACCGCCAACAGCAGCCAGAGGAATATGTCACCGTTAGAGCACAATTATCATACTACATCAAGCCCTGAATATTCCACCATAACTACAGTACAAGGAAGCATCCTTAAAGGTAACTAAAGGTTATAATGGTCCTTAAAGAAGAAGTGAATAAATCCCATAAAGGAATCCAGGAAAACACAAACAAACATAATCTACTAAAGAAAACCAAACAATAAAATAGCTGAAGGAAACAAGTAAAATGTTCAAGACCAGAAAATGAAAATAGAAGCAATAAAGAAAACACAAGCTGATGGTAACCTGGAAATGAAACATTAGGAATTTGTACAGGAACTACAGAGTCAAGCTTCACCAATAGATTACAAGAGATGAAAGTGAGAATCGTAGGCACAGAAGATATAATGGAAGAAATTGATACCTTGGTCAAAGAAAATGCAATCTAAAAATTACCTGACAGCAAACAGCCAGGAATTCTTGGACACTATGACAAAACCAAACCTCAGAATAATTGGAATAGAAAAAGAAGAATCCTAGCTCAAAGTCCCAGAAACTATTTTTAATAATTTATTTATTTAAGTTTCATTCTAATATCCAACCTCAATTCTCCCTTCCTCCCCTCCTTTCACTGCCCCCCCCAGCCAACTTTTACCCACAGTTAAGGGATCCCATGAAGAGTCAACAAAGTCTAGTACATTAAGTTAGGGCAGGACAAAGCTCCTCTCCCTTGCATTAAAACTGGGTATGGCATCCTACCACAGAGGGAATGCTCCAACAATATAGCTCATGTATCAGAGTTACATTCTGGTCCTACTGCCAGGGGCCCCTCAAATAGTCCAAGCTTCACAACTGTCCCCACATATGAAGGGCCTAGTCTCCACAGTTCTTGGTCTAAAGTTCATCACTTTCTACGAGCCTGTCTCTGCAGGTTTCTTGACCTCCACTACACATATATTCTCTCCTCCCTTTATTTGACTGTATTCCCAGATCCAGACCTGATGATTGGCCATAGATCTCTGCATCTTGTTCCATCAATTACTGGATGAAGACTCTGTGATGATAGTTGGAGTATTCACAATCTGATTAAAGGGGTCATGAGTGAATATTTGATGTAAAGAAAAGGATAACCAGATTATAATCCACAGCTCCAGAGAAACTAGTCAACATAGAGGGAATAGAAATTAGATGAGATATCCTGGGTAAACTGGGTATGAGGAGGCAGTAAAATGAGGGGAGGGTGAGGAAAACATGAAGGAAGAAAATGGTGGAGCATAAGGGGACTAAGTAAAAGAGTAATGAAAGAGGTGTGTTAATAGAGTCACTAAGGGAATAGAGAGAAACCTGATGCTAGGGTAATACCCAAGGATCCACTAGGATCACCCCAGCATCAGCAATAGTGGAGAGGATGCCTAAACTGGCCTATCCAGAAAATGTTGAATCAAAGACCCTGACATAAATCAATAAACCTATGGATACCCAATTTTTGTCAAAGAATCCAGAAATAAACAATTAAAACACTAAAACATCCTTCACTTCTGCTGCTCTAACTAGATGTCAGTATGTAGAAGAATGCAAATTGATCCATATGTATTACCCTACATAAAACTCAAGTTCAAGTGGAACAAAGACTTCAACATAAAACCATACACACACTACCTGATAGAAAAAAAGTAGGGAAGAACCTTGAACTCATAAGCACGGGAGACAACTTCTTGAAGAGAACACCAAGTTGTTGTTTGGTAGGGAGGAATGGAGGAAGAGTATTGGGATATATGACTGGCTTGGGTGAACATTCGGGGACAATGCAAAAGCTAGTGCAGTGGAAACTCTCTGACGTCTGTGAGAGTGACCTTAATGAATTCTCCTGCTAATGGGGTAATCAAAGCCCAAATTGAGCATATTCTAACATATAGCCATAACCATGCAAGGCTCTTTGCAGTGAGACTGATGCATTAACACAGCTACAAAACCTTCATATAGAATATCTCCTGTCTGCAATTTGTGCTGAGGAAATGGTAGTACAGAACTTGTGGGAGTTGCCAACCCATGACAGGTCCAACTTGAAGCCCATACCACAAGGAAAATCCCATGCCTGACACTGCCTCGATGGCAGAGACCTAGGATAAAACAAAACATGATTGGTAAAAAAAAAGTCAATGAAACGATTTTTAATGATTCCTGCCTTAATTATCATCACAGGGACATCACCTAGCAGCTAATGGGAGCAGAATCAGAGACTACAGCAAAACACTAGGTAGAGCCAGGGAATTCCAGCAGAAGTGGAGGGAGGTGATTTGTAGGAGACAGAGGCATTGGAGACACAATGAGAACGCTTTTCACAGAATTAATTAAGTAGGGTTCACAAGGGCTCACAGAAACTGAATCAATAAACAAACACAGACCCTATATGGGTCTGAGCTAGGTCCCTAGTATATATCTCGTGGCTGTGTACCTTGGTACTCTGATAGGAATCCCAACAATGGGCTATGCGGGGTGGGGTGAGGGTAGAGTTCTGACTCATTTGCCTGATTCTAAGACCTTTTCCTCTTACTAGGTTGTCCCATCCGGCCATAATATCAGGGTTTGTGCTAAATCTTATTGTATCTTTTCAGGCCATGTCTGATGAATATGCCTGGAAGCCTGCTCATTTAATCGTTTGTCTTTTTATAAAGAGAAGGTCTGATCTAGAGGAGAGGGCACATGGGGACAGGGAATAGGAACAGTGGAAGGAGGAGCAACATTGGTAGGAGTGTAATGTATGAGAGAAGATAAAAGTTAAATAGTAATAATATAAAAACTTAAGGGGGCTAAATATCTGTAGTAAGCGATATATAGTCAAGTGACCCAAATAGGCTTCTTTAGCTCCTCAATAGCTGTAGCTATACTCCTTCAAATCTCAGGCCTTAACCCAGCTCCAGAAGCACAGCTTGAACACTGGTGTACTCTGTTGAGGTTTTCTGTTCCTCAGCTACCTTCACATTTGCAATCTCACACTCGCAGACCTAGCTACAGCTGAGCCAGTGCTGTGCTCGCTTCATCTGACCTAGCTTTGGTCACATAAGCCCAGCACCTGCCTATTGTTAAGGAACCTGCAATACATCATACCAGACATATCCAACAAGAGAAGTCCACACACCCATTTACCACTGAGAAAATGTGAACAATGTGAAAGGAGAACACAGTCTATTTCTCTCCAGCATATAATCAGACTTTCAATAATGTCTTGCGATGTTAATTAACTGGAGGAACTCCAGGATGCAAAAATGGAAAGAGCAATCATGAACTCTATCAATGAATTGAAGGAAGTTAATTGACGGAGAGAGGGAGGAAGAATGAAAGGACGAGAAAGTAAGTAAGAAAGAAAGAAAGAATGAAAAAGACTTACCCGATTTGAGGAAAGATCTATTCCCACAAATTCCTGCAGTACACATC